AAAAAAATTGGATGGTATCTGTTTCAGGATAAGATGCGGGCTTGTCAAAAATTCATAATTAGAAATCCTATTCTAAAATTTTTAAATCAAGTCTCTATGGCCTGAGACTTATTAATTTTTTCCCCAAGGAGTTTGTTTTTTTTCTTTTCTGGAATTTTTTTTTCTCCAGTTTCATTGGGATTTGAAAATTCTCTAGCTGACGCTGGTATACTCTAAATTGCAAAAACTAGGTAGATAACTATCAATAAGAAAAAATGTTTAAACTACTGTGAAACACTAGGTTATATTATCTAATAATTTAAAAAATCACAATATGTGCATCCTGGGGATTATGCTTTCAGGATGTACATTTCTATACCATCCTGTTTAACATATGTATATTCAAGAAACTGTGGTATATTTACTTCATGGTTTTTCCTCAAGATAACTTTAATTTTTCTGGTGAAAAATTAAAGACACAATTTGCATATCTCTCTTTTTGACTGAAAACGACTAAGTAATGAGTATTTACTAGAACTAGCTTTGTCGTTATTTATAAATAATGACTTGTTAAGGCTGACATGAACTTCCTTATTGGGCAGATGACGTGTGTAATGATAAGAAACTCAGGAAATAATGCCAAACAGAGCACATTCTTCAATACTGTGTCAGACAGGGGCCCACAGCCAGCCCTCTACAGATGAAGGCAATATCATCTCTTCCTTCCTTTTCTCCCTTTTCTCCTCTGACCAGTGTCTACTGTTTGATTACAGGACAGATATTCTAGAGTCATATACAACTCTTTGTTTTAGGTTCTAGGCATGAAAGTAAATGAAACTCACAGAAACTCTGCCCTCATGAAACTTATATTCTAGTAGTTGAGAAAGATAATGAAGTAGATAGATAAGTAAATTATATAATGTGGATCATGGTAGTGTTACAGAAAAGAAAATAAAGCAGGGAGGTGGGGTGTATGGGGTGTTATGGAAATAGTCTTGAAATGGCAGATCTTGTGGCCAGGAAAGACCACAAGTAGGTGATTTTTACCTCAAGAAAGTGAAGGAGGGAAGCTTCTGATGTATGGGAGAGCATTCTAGGCAGAAAGAATTGAATGTAAAAAGGTCCAGAGTGAGAGCCCCCCTGAGATATTCCAGGAAGAGAATACTTAGTAAGTAAAGTCATTACTTGTTTGGGCATGTTTTTGCCCTGGCATTTTCAGGCAGCACTAACTTATGAACATGTTTTTTTAAGTAATTTTTTACAAAGAACATGCTTCCATGTGTATTGTTATTATTATTTGTGTTGGATTTCCTCCTTATTAATTATATTGCTTAAACCTATTTAATATATCAATTTCTATTTAGCCTTTGTCAAGAGAATACCACTACGGCAACAATTTTGGTTACATAGTGGCATTTAAGCCTTTTGATGGGGAAGAATGGAAAAAAGTTACAGTAACTAATCCAGATACTGGCCGCTATGTCCATAAAGATGAGACCATGCGCCCTTCCACTGCATTTCAAGTCAAAGTTAAGGCCTTCAACAACAAAGGAGATGGACCTTACAGCCTCACAGCAGTCATTAATTCAGCACAAGACGGTAGGTAAAAGACCTTACTAACATGAGGAGGGAAGATAAACCTAACTCCCTGGTAGGTATTTTGTTTGCTGTCTTTCAGGCCTTACTTGCTAAGATCTTTTCATAGTACTAGGCATTTAGTAAAAGAGTATTACTTTGATCAAAACTAAAATGTCATTCCAACCATTTAAAGACAAGAGTACCTCCCAAATCTTTTTCATCCTTTAGATCATGTCCATGATAATTAGGAAATCTCCACTAAAATAATTGGCTTTGGACCCCTGTTTTTGGCTTCTTGATTCTAATTGTGAAGTGAGAAATTCTCCATACTTGGTTGGTACCTTAGTATGTCTGTGCATTCACAATGCTTACTACTTACAAATTCCTTAACATATATATACTTTTCTGGGGGTAAAGTTTCCCCTTTTAACCCCCAAATTGTATAATTACATCCTTTATGTAACTTCTTTGCCATTTCAATAGAGTGCTGAAATTTTGTTAAAGGGAATCTAGGCATAATTCTATGAAGAAGGAGTCAGAAAGTTGAATTTTTTTATTGGGAAAGGAAAAATTTGTCTGGAGAACTAGTTAAGGGGAAAAATATATAGATACTGGCTCTCTTTGTTTTTCTAGAAACTTTATCTGAACTGAGAATGCTTTTAAAAGACTTTATATGTCTTTGATAAATAATACATCGTTTTGGATTAAACATAATAACATCGATTTCTGTGATTTCCTATTTAAGCTACTATGCTTTTTATTGTTTTCCTATTAAAGAAACATAAGACCTCCTTATTATACCTCCGCACTCATGAGCACTATGTAAACAATTAATGGCTAGAAAAGCAAATGGAAAATTCCATTGCCTTCTGACCTGACACATTTGTCCTTGGCCAAGTTCTCTTCACATACATGTGAGAAGCACAAAAGGAAATAAAACAGGAAATACTCCTCTGATCTCTTAGAGGAAAAACACTCTATTCATTTGCCCAATTTGTGTTACCTTCTACTTCAAAATACACATTTAGCTATCAGAACTCACATAACGCTCTTCAGCCATACAGTTATTAGCTTCCCTACTTGTTAAAAATTTAATGTGTATTCCCATCATTCCATGATCTTTACTTATAACACAAACATGAAAGGCAATCTTATATATATAGTTATATATACATGTAGGTGCACACACACACACACACACACACACACATGCTTTTTTTTAAGTTAACTAAATACATGGAGAGAATAAAAATGGAAATTATTTAAGTTTATAATCAAGTCAGGGCTTTCAGACCTGAGTAATAATTCTTACATTCTCTATACTTATTCTGATTCAATAGAAAGATGGTAACTTGGCTCAGTGTTACCAGTTTGAACAATCTGAGTATCCCCCACAGAAGAAATGAAAGTAAAAAGCACTTTACAAGTTATCTTCTCACCCAATATCAACTTTTTAGTGCCTTATTTGATGCTAAAGTAATCAGGCAAAGGGCCATGCTTGCCATCTCTGTAGTCATGACCATCTGCATTTAATTATATTTCTTTCCTAAATGTTTCATAAGTCTCATAAAACCTGCATGTGCCGAAGCTTGTATAAGCGTTCCTCTCTTCTTCTCCTGCTAGGAAATCAATCATAGTGCTACACATTAACCTTGATTTAGAAAGGCAACAATGTTCATGTGCAGGACATTTTTTACACAAAAGAGGATTATGGTTTGTTAATAAAAGACAATAAAAATTGACCATTCTTGCTTAAAGATTTCCTTAGTTTCTTTGTGTAATTTTCATAAGGGATGTAAATCACTTTTTATTTTTCACTGAACAGAGACCTTTTTGATACATACTTGACTTGATGCCCATTTGGAAGATTAGACTTATAAAAGCTTTCCTGAGCACAAGAAGCAGTGGATGTCACAACTTGTTTCAAAGGATCTAAAAAAAAAAAAAAAAAAAAAAAAAAAAAAAACTTAGCTTAAACATAAAAGGAGAGAAGTATTCCTGTGTATCTGTACCTTATGTAAATACAAAGTGTGAGTGAGAAAAATGAAAATTAAATGTAATGAACAATTTTAATAATAAATACCAAATCTCCTGTTTTTGATAATATAGAGTTATATAAATATAATGAATTGAATGTGCATCCACAGGCTTTCTTAAAGCAGATTAGTACAGATAAATACAAAAAAATAATTAGTACAGTTCTTGCTCACAGATATTGGGAAATCCGTGAAAGAGTTTATATTTTGTAAAAGTGTGTGTGTGCATGTGTATGTACATGTGTATGAATATATTAACATTCATGTAGATGACTGTGTGTCATCATATATCATTGCTGACCATGAAATAAAATAATATTAGTAAAAGCAGAGAAAAAGATAATAAAATTACTGGTCTTGTTTTATTTTAGAAATACGAAAACTTGAAAAAATATTAAAATGTAATTTTAATCCATTCATACAGCAAATGGTGATATATGAATATAAGCACCTTATATAAGAATGTAATGTTCTCATCAAATTTCAGCTCCCAGTGAAGCCCCAACAGAAGTAGGTGTAAAAGTCTTATCATCTTCTGAGATATCTGTTCATTGGGATCATGTTGTAGAAAAAATTGTGGAAAGCTATCAGGTGAGTTCAATTTTTATTAAACTATATACATTTATTCAAAAGTTTATTATCGTAAGTTTTCAAATATGTTCTCCCTTTGAATGTTCTGTGGCCATTGATTTATGTGGCAACTAACACTATAATCTCTGTGTCTAGTATGTTGGGCATTTATAAGCTAGTTGTTAAGAGTAAGGCGGAGATTCCTAACTAGCTTATCTAGGAGAGATACAGAGTCCTGTGTGTTGACAAACAGTTGACTGAAATAAAAACTAAGGTAATAACACCCATAGTTAAATGAGATCTCTTGAGACATTCTCATAAACTGTTGCCAAATTTAAAAATTTTTTGGAAACCATTTTGATAATTTATAAAAGCATCCTTAAAATGTTTATTCTATTTGTCTCAGTAGTTCCACTTCTAATGGTCCCTATAAAAGAAATAACTAAAAATATACCAAATATGTGTCTCATAATGTTATCTATGAAGGTAGAAAATTGGCAACATTCGAAATGTCCCAAAGGAAATTTTCCTTGAGTTGAGTCTTAAAATACCAGTAGGAATTCACCAGATACAAAGGGGAGAGTTTGTCTTAGTTGAAGGGAAGAAGACCTGGAAAATTGAAGCTAGAATGATAGTCGGGGCCTTTAATACAATACTAGCAAAATTAAGATTTGATTGTGCAGAAAATGTGATATCATCTCATATGTTTAATTAAGCACATAGAGTGAAAATTAGGAGGAATTGGCAACATCTGATCTTTGCAGATGAGCAAATGGATGCCAGAGATTCAACAACTTGCCTCAGCACAAATTAAGTGTCAAAGCAGTATCTAAAATTCAGCTTTGATGATTCAAAGTTCAAGGCTTTATGCCAAACCACAGACTCCTTTCTGTTTTAGAAGTGAATGCCCTTCTGAAACCATGGGCGCTGAACTGCGCACACAGCCAGCTTGCCCTCTCAATTCTTATTCACCTTCCTTCTTCATCTGTTGGAATATTAGCTCTTTGAGGGCAAGATTTTGTCTGTTTTTCTCTCAGCACCAAGAACAAGTGCTGGGCACAGGGTAGGCACTAAACAGGTATTCAGGCTGAATAGAGCTACAGTATTATCAAATCATATGTTACAATCTGGACTTCTCAAAGCCATGTTTCTGAGATGTGACCACAAAACCAACCCAAGATTTTAAGTTTTAAACATGTAAATATCAGGAAGCTTTTTTTCTTCAGTAACATAGGTTATGATTTGGGTACATGTCAAAGTGTCTTCAGATAATCTTTGCAAGGGTTCAGCTGAAGCTATTATGAAAAGAGTGGAATGGTAGGAATGAACTGGAAAGACAGTATTCATAACTTATTAAATTGACCTTTACATTTAAAGCTAGTAGGAAAGGAATGGGAAAAATAAAGAAATTCACTAGGCATTACAAACCCCTATAATAAACAAGTCCAAGGTTTCTTGGGAGAAGACATCAGTATTTGGAGCTTGAAAGTCATCTTGAACCATAGGATTTTTTTTCTTCTTTCATATTATTCATTTTTAAATAATAAAAAAAGAGAAAAAAGATTATTTAAAATATAACTCACTCATTGAGTCAAAATGCTAAATTTATATTTTACTTTGTTTAAAACATTGACCTAGCATTGGCACCAATGAATTTAGGCAATAACCAGAATGTAAGCTTTTTTGATTGGAAGTAAACATCAGTTAAGGATTTTCAATGAAATAGTCCATTAAAAATAATAGTTATCAGATAATATTTTCTCAAATGATAATTTCAAGGAAAATGTATACCATTGAGGAATTTAGTTTCACAGATATCTGACTTTCTGTAACTCCATATTAAGTAGAAAACAGTGAGCTCTTTTGCTGAGCAGATGTGCATTGATAGCTCAACTATGTCACTGAGGAATTTGATACAAAATTTATCTGAAATTTCTGAACCTTGGTTCTCTTACCTGGAAAGGTGAGAGAGTAATCATGCCTCATAGAACTGTTGTGTGGAATGAAATCAAAACATTTAATGCCTTTCCCTGTTCTATGTCATTGGACATTTGAAGACAGTGATAGTGATGATAATGACAGTGATGAAAATGATAATGATAATATTTTTTTTTAATTTTTTTTTCAACGTTTTTATTTATTTTTGGGACAGAGAGAGACAGAGCATGAACGGGGGAGGGGCAGAGAGAGAGGGAGACACAGAATCGGAAACAGGCTCCAGGCTCCGAGCCATCAGCCCAGAGCCTGACGCGGGGCTCGAACTCACGGACCGCGAGATCGTGACCTGGCTGAAGCCGGACGCTTAACCGACTGCGCCACCCAGGCGCCCCTGATAATGATAATATTGATAAGAATGATAACATTTGTTGAGCCTTTATGATGCTCAACAGCATTGGAGTTTAGAAATATTTGTCTGCGTAATAATTAGCATAACCAGATTTGAACCTAGGTCTTACGTCTCCAAATAAATTTAAAATATTGGACATAAATCGCAAAATTATTGTTTCCAGTTGTTCTTTCTTAAAACCTTTTTGAGTTGTTGACACAGAACCTTGAATATCAAAGAGACAAGCATGAAAGCTTAAAAGAGAATGTCTGTAACATTTATTCTCCTGTAAGAAAATGCCCCTGTATAGGGGGTGGGGGGGAGTTTGACTGACTATAATGTGGTTATTGTTTCTATTCTAAAATATTATGGGAGAAGCCAATGGTTTAACAAGATAGATGATTGAGAAAACTAATACCCCAGTGCACTTCCTATAAAAATGTACTCAGGGACAAAGTTATACAGAAACAGAGAAAAAAAAGTAACACATTAAGAAAATAAAATAAAAACTGGAAAAGCCCAAGTCCTGTGTGATTGACCCCTTCTCAAGGTTAATTTCCTGATATTTCAAGTGAGAACTGTGAGCAGTTGAGTTTAAAAATAATCTCTTCCCTTGTGGTTTTAAAATGTATCTCAGTAGAGTGTTTAAGTTCTACTTATTTTTTCCTCTTGCCTAGTTAAAGAGCTCCCCACTCCTAACCTTAATGGTACAAGTTTTTCTGCAGTGTAGGAAAGGTGTATTAGAGCTTTGAGCTCCTGCCCAGAATCCGCAAAAGACTTAGTTTGTTCACCCAGCAGGTACAACACCCACTTAACTTAATGTAAACAAGCATAATATGCTATCAGGAATAATGAATGCAAAATCTCTTAACAAGTGAATTAGAGATTAATGCAAATAATCAGTTTCACAATTATCTTAAAAGATTATCAATCCTGAGTAATCTCAGTTTGTTTTTTTTTTTAAATTTTTTTTTTTTTTCAACGCTTTTTATTTATTTTTGGGACAGAGAGAGACAGAGCATGAACGGGGAGGGGTGAGAGAGAGGGAGACACAGAATCGAAACAGGCCCAGGCTTCATCAGCCCAGAGCCTGGACGCCGGGGCTCAACTCACGGACTGCCAGACGGACCTGGCTGAAGTCGGACGCTTAACCGACTGCGCCACCCAAGCGCCCCAGTAATCTCAGTTTTTTAAAGGTTAATTGATTATAGTGAGCACATTTAGGAAGTACTAATATTTAGGAAGTACTTCATTTTCTTATTTTGGATCTTGATCTCCCCAAAGCAAAGTCGGACACACAGGTGTGGGAGAAGGTAGTGTTTTTGTTGTTGCTGTTGTTGATCCATTTGTTTTAATATGATCCTGGAGAGCAAAAAAATGAGGAAAAACAGAGTGAAGAGGAAAAGGGGAAGCTTGGATAGAAAGATGCATATCTTTTTGGCAAACCCTGTTGGCAACTGGTGCTCCATCTCTTGGGAGCTTTGAGGACCTTTAGAATGTGGCTTAGAATTGCCCTACCTGGGATAAAAGGGGGAGCATTCATCCACTGCTGCCCCCCACTGGTTAAGGGTGGCCCCATCAGCATCACCTCCTCTCCCACTTCTGTGGACTGTGGGACAAGTTTCACATCGCAGCATCAAAGACATCCTGGCACTGGGAGTGCGAAGCCAGCAGCACTAGCATGGGTGAAATGCTTACTGGTCATGCTTAGGAGAAGTACCTAAGTGAAGCCTCCATAGAATTCGTTGGTCCCTGCACCAGTGGCTGGAATAAAAGAATTTTGAACAGCTCCCAAAAGGTGTAAGAATACGGATTGGAATGATTTATATTTTTGCTATTCCTTTCCCATAGAATATTCTAATAAGCAAAGGAGTCTAAGATTTGGATAATATAGTTATTGTATATTTTTAGAGATTGAGCTTTTTTGTGTCAGAGTCTCAGTTTTTCACTTAAATGACCATATTAACCGTTTCTCCTAAATACTGTATTAAATCTTTTACAAAAGAATCTTCACTTGTCACATGATTATGATTTTTTTTTTCCAGCAAATTCAGAACTGAAAGGACAGAACTTAGAAATCTGATCCAAAAGGTTACTGCAGGGGCGCCTGCCTGAGTGGCTCAGTCAGTTAAGGATCTGACTCCAACTCTTGATTTCAGCTCAGGTCATGATCTCCTGGTTCGGGAGATCAAGCCCTATATCCACGAGCCTGTTTGGGATTCTCTCTCTCCCTCTGTCTCTCTCTTTCTTCCTCTTCCATGTTCTCTCTCTGTCTCTGTCTCTGTCTCTCTCTCTCTCTCCCTGTCTCTCTCTCTCTTTCTCTCAGTCAAAATACCTAAATAAACTTAAGAAAAAAGTTTACTGAAGTTGAAAATAATAAAACGGAGCAAACACAATTTTCAAAAGTGCTAAATATCTTCAGGCACTTCCATAATTGTAACATCCATTCCTTTTTTCTAAACCCCTTTGGAGAAAATGAGGTTTTAGAAAAGCCATTTTCCCTGCAAATTTCTTAAATTTTTCTGAGAAGGAATATAACTATATTGTCATTGTACAAAAGTATTATTAATGTAGCACACAATTTATGGAAAGTGTGATATTCTTCTGCTAAGGCTTTTTTCTTTTTAGCTTCCTAATACTTTTGTAAAGAGTAAGTATTCTTTGGGCAAAATGATATACTTAGATCTCTCCCTCAAAGATATTAGGGATTTTATGTGAAGTTATACATTTTGATTCCTTCATTTTTTTAATAAGATCTATGATGGCAAAGAACATGTATGCCTGGGTTCACTGCACTCCCAGCACCTTGCACAGTAAGTGGGACAAAGTGGGTGCCTGATAAATATTTGTTCAATGAATGAAACAGTATCATACGTCAAATGTAGCCCTGTGCCCATAGTGTTGAAAATAAATAGTAAATACCCTGTCATCAAAGAGCTTATAATCTAGTTTAAGTGGAAAAAGACAAGTCATGAGGCAGTCTAATTAGTCATAATTGCCTAATAAGCTCTATGATAGGTTTATGAGAGACAAAAGATGCTATGGGAATTACAGAAACATGTAGAGAAAGAGTGAAAATTGTATAATGCCACAGCATTAAAAAGAAATGCATTATGTATTAATGCAGCATATGAAGATGAATTTATGGTTTACTATCCATAATTCAGGACCTACTATATGTATGTATGTGCATATGTATTTTCCAGTAGTGATAATCCCTTTCCACTAATTCATTCAGGCTCTCTTTTGGTCTCCCTAGTGATTAATCAAAAGCAACACATTTGTTCTGTTCCATAACTACAGGTTGCACCCTTCACTCCAAGCAATTTGTTGCAAATCGCTCATAAGTGATTTGCTCGGTGCTTCACCACATTGAGAAACTCAGTGAGATGATCACGATGCAACAGCCCAAATTTATTATCTGTTTGGAAATGACGTGCATGGCCAGTGGCTAGTTCAGAGAAAAAAAGATGATGCCATGCATTACATATATCTATCTATTATTTATTTTAGTATACTTTGAAAACATTGTAAGTTATATGCAAACATATAAAGAGATTATTAAATTAAATCATTTTGTCTCAGATGCTTTCATTTGTAAAGATTAACTATACTGTGAAAAGTTCAAACAACTCTCCTGTTCTAAAACAAGGAAATCAAGGACTATTTGGCACTCTCAATAATTCTTTCTGCTCCCTAGTTAAAAAGGCATAGATAAATTACTGCTTTAATTTATTGTGACTTATGTTTTTTTTTAATGTTTATTTTTGAGAAAGAGAGATAGAGCATGAGTCAGGGAGGGCAGAGAGAGAGAGGGAGACACAGAATCCGAAGCACGCTCCAGACTCTAAGCTGTCTACACAGAGCCCGGTGCAGGAGTTGAATTCACGAACCATGAGATCATGACCTGAGTGGAAGTCAGACGCTTCATTGACTGAACCACCCAGTCGCCCCTATTGTGAATTTTAATGGAGACTGACCACCACAGATCCCTGCTAAAGTTTGATGAATAAAGTCATTTGTCAGTTTAGATATAGGTGCAAATGGTAAATTAAGGAAAGCTCTTTTCTTTTGTACTGCCAAAATGCCTCATGGAAATTTAAGTGAGAAGGCAGAAAAATTTTGTCACTTTAATTCCTCATAGTGTCTGTCTTTTAGAAATTACCTTTTTGATATCTATCTGGTTAAAAAGTTTCTCTTCTTTAAACTGGATGATAGAAAAGTTGTTAAAATTCAATGAAGATTTTAAAATGTGGTCCACATCTCAGTCAACAAGCATACATATAAAAATGCATCAACCTCATAGATTTCAGTTTTGATTGCTATAAAACATTCTAGATTTATTATGAAGATAATGTATACAGATGATCCTACTCAGGTTCTTGGCATTTCATTAGAATATACATTTTCATTTTATTTTTTAGTCAAGCATTAGAAGGAGGCCTTATGCATTATCTGATTCAAGTGCCCACTAAAATGTAGGCCATTGTCCTCCCAGATGAACGTACTCACTGCCTGAACCCTTTCAGAATCTGGAAACATCTTCTCGAGGAGGCTCCTCCCCTTAGCAGGTCTTTTGTCTGCCAACTGAGATCTGCCTCTGGAGACACTGGGTACAATTCTAGTTCCTTGGTTGTGAGGCCATCCTTCTGGTCAGATGACAGGAAATGCCAAGGAGATCCTATCAAAACCATTAGAAAAAGTATTGCTGACATGAGAAAAATGAGTACTAGAGAACAAAATAAAAACATTGCAAAGGAAACAAATTAGCAACTTAGTAACTAGGCTTTGTTCTGAAATGTGATCACTCTACATATAAACCTTACTTTGTTACCAAGTGAATTGGAACCATCTAGTTCCATTTTATAATGGTTTCATTTGATTTATGTAATTATTCAAGATTATATAAATATTAGATACTATTGTCTAGGCACTTTGCTTAATTGTGAAATTAAATTTTCATTTATTTTATGGCCAGGGAATCTAAAATATATAAAATATCAACACATTTATAAGGAAATTTGCTCCTTTTTATTTATACCTTAGATACAGGAATTTCTAACCAATAAAATAGTCTCATTAGAAGGATGGAAATTATAATTTCCAATTTTTACTTAAACTTTAAGAGACAAGGAAGAGTGTCATTGGTACATTGGTTGGTACAAGTAATCATTTTTTTAAACTAATGTTTATTTTTTGAGAGAGAGAGAGACAAAGTGTGAGTGGGAGAGGGGCAGAGAGAGAGGGAGACACAGAATCTGAATCAGGCTCCAGGCTCTGAGCTGTCAGCACAGAGCTTCGGGGTGGGGGGGGGGGGGGGGGGGGAGGCATGAACTCATGAACCCTGAGATCATGACCTGAACCGAATTTAGATGCTTAACGGACTGAGCCACCCAGGTGCCCCACAAGTAATCATTTCTAATCACAACATGGATAACATTTTTAAAAATAAATTGATTTTCATAATAAATAATTTCCACAACTAATTAAACTCTTAAGCCCATTTCTTTGATAGCTGGCAAAAATATAGCTTCAAAGGGAATATTTTTTCATACATATTTCTAAAATGAACTAGCAGAAACTTATTACACTCGCATGTTCTAGGCAATATAATAACTTTTTATAAAACAAAATTGTATTTCCTGTCAAACTGTTTTATCAGTGACCCGTGACGCATTTGATATTATACAAACAGAAATAAAACAGTAAATAAATGATAAAAATTATTGTGGAAATACGTCCAAACAGAAACCAGTGTTATATTTTGAAGGTAAATCATATGAAGAGGTTTTTGGTTTCTTCTTCTTCATCTTTTGTTGTTGTTGTTGTTGTTGTTAGAGTGATACTATTTCAGGCCATGAGGTGAGCCCTTGATTTCTTTGACATCTTTAATAGATCTACATTATGTGCCTTGCCATATTCTAAGACCAATAGAAGTATAAGTAGCATTAAGTAACATTTGAGTATATGACACTCAGCCAACATCATAGGTGTCAGAGCCAAGTGAAAAGGATTTTCACCACTGAGTCATGACAACATCTTCCTCAATTTGAATGTTTGCAGATTCGGTATTGGGCTGCCCATGACAAAGAAGCAGCTGCACACAGAGTTCAAGTCACCAGCCAAGAGTACTCGGCCAGGCTGGAGAACCTTCTGCCCGACACCCAGTACTTTGTGGAAGTCAGGGCCTGCAATAGCGCAGGGTGTGGGCCTCCCAGTGACATGATTGAGACCTTCACCAAGAAAGCACGTGAGTCAACATTTGCATTTAGACTCATCAAAAACTACCAATCCATTCGGTCATGATGCAAGTTACATTTGAGAGAAATTTACTACCTAGCAGTCTTAGCACATTCCATTTTAAATTTTATCTTTTACAGCCATCCGAGGTTTAAAACAAAAACAAACAAAAAATCATTGCTAGTTATTGTAGGTGATGAAAACGTGGAGGATGACTTCACCCATTTAATGTTCCACTATAGAAATAATATTACAGAACCTCCATTTGTAAATTTTGTATCACTAGATAATCAATTTGTATTCTCTGTTACTATTTTTAACATTGTTTTTATAGGACTGCATAAATAGCATATAGCATGAGAAAATTAAAATTGTTTCTTCTCTATACTTTTTTTATATAAACCTTCATCACTGCATAGTGCAAATGTGAGGTAAATGTTGTAGCATTATGTTTCATCTCTTATTACCATATGTTCTGTTGTTTATACAACAAGACAGCCCATCCTGCTTAAGTCTTCTAGTCGTTCTCAGCTCACTGGGTTCACTTTGATATCTCCTTCTTGAACCCACGTTGAATATATAGAAGAATAGAATTCATATTCAAGATTCTAGAGAGATTTGCAAGAATTTAAAGACATGAATACTACTGGTGTTTGGAAATTTATGAAATTCACTTGGGGAAAGGTAACTGAACATGGTGATAGGATACCAGACTTTAGTATCAGCCATGGGCTTCAGATATGTATTTTCCTCTTACTAAATGTGTGCCAGTAGACAAATTACCTCCCACCTTTAAGCCTTAGTTTTCTAATTTGTAAGAGCAGCGTCCATTCCTTTGTCCTTTTTTTCCATTTATTCATCAGAAGTATGCTATGTGTCTACTATCTCTGTTCTAGCCATTGAGAATACAGAAGGGATCCAACCAGACCCAGAGCCTCTTCTTAGAAGATTTACAACCTAATGGAAGGACATGAAAACAAAACAAAACAAAACAAAACAAAACAAAACAAAGAACTGACAAATCAATATGAATGATAATATCAGTTGACAGGGCAATAAAATGAATAAACATAATAAAATATAAAGTGACATGGATGGAAAATGAATTCCAATTGAGTGGTCAAGATAAGCTTCTTTGATAAGATGCCATTTGAGTCATATATATATGAATATATGAATCATAAGAAGGACCCACTATGACAACTGGCAGGGAGGGGACGATTTCAGGTAGAGAAAGTAATTAGGGTAAAGCCTAAGGGTGGGAATAGTTTGGTATGCCATAAGTGTAGAAAGGCCAGTTGGGCAAGGATGTAGGCTGGAAGTGAGAAGGAGGAAGTGTGCTGGTGTTGAAATATGAAGAGTCTTGTAGTTGTAGGTCCTGCTAGGGATTAGAGTTTTTTCTAAGTCTGTTGAGAGCCATTGGGAGATTTTAAGGCAGAGAGGGATAGTTAACTTATGCTTGAAAAAAATCATTCTGGCTTCTGGATGGACAATGGGTGGTGGTGGAGTAGGGGTGAAAACAAAAGAACCAATTAGGGGACGGTTTTAGATGTCAAGGAGAGAAGTGATGATGGCCAGAACTAAGTGATAATGGATATAAAGAGAAGTGGAAAATTTTCTACAGAAAGAGTTGACAACTTGGTGCTGATTTGGATGTTGGCATGGATGGAATGGAAGACTGAGTACTGTACTTTTGATTCAGAAACTGAGGATTCAGTTGTATCATTTGCCAAAGATGGGAAAGACCCATAGAGACGCAGATTTGGGAGAACATGGCAAATGTTCCATCTTGATTACATTTGAGAAGTCTTGTAGAGATTCTAATACAGGCAATTGGACACATATGTCTAGAGGCCAAGAGAAAGCATACACCTGAAATAAAATTTTGACTTCTTATAGCCATACACCCAGATATAAATTTTAGGAAAGATTCATAGATCAGAGAAGGGTTCTCAGGATCAAGTCCTAGGTCATGCCAACATCTAGAAATTAGGCAGAGGACAGGAGCTGGCACAGGATGGTTAATGAGAAGGAGCATCCGGAGAGGTGGAAGGACACCTGGATGTTAAGAGATCATGAATTTAAGAAAAGAATGAGATTCAGAAAGGGGTTAGAAGGTCAATTCTGTAGAATGCTACAAAGATATTAAGTCTGAAAAGAATAAAACATGACATTATTTGGCCAACTGGAGATAATTGATGGCTTTAAAAGCAGCAGTTACAAAAGACTGGTGGAGAAAGAAACCCAAGAACAAGGAGAAGAGAATAAAAGATACTTATATTACCTACCTCACAGGGTCAAGAGTACATTAAATGAACCCATGGATATAAAGTGCTTAGTATAGTGCCTGTTATGTAGTAAGCACTCATCAAAATTAGCTGTTGTTGTCACATCATTATCATCACTGACTCAAGGCAGTTTGCAAAACTCAAGTTGGATATGGTGGCTGTCACTTGCGTATTATTACTTTCCACAGCTCCGAGCCAGCCCCCAAGGATCATCAGTTCCATAAGATCTGGTTCACGCTATATAATCACCTGGGATCATGTGGTAGCACTATCAAATGAATCTACAGTGACAGGATATAAGGTATGTAAGAGATTACTGGGTTTTTCCCCACACAGGCTTTATTCCTATAAAGAGTGATTAATGTTTGGACTTGACTGAAGTTTATTTCACCAAAACCCTTTCAGCTTTCTTATTCTAGCTGTATAGAGGAATCAGATGACATCGTACTGTGATAAATTTTGAAATGAGAAAAGATCTTCAGTGAATTCTATGAAAATTCTATGTCAAGTGAGCAAGATAGGTACAATAACTGCTTTAAAGAATAGAGTTGTTAAAGTAATCAGTGCATAAATCCATTTTTGTTTGGCAATGATTAAGATAGTGTTGCCTGGCACACAGTAAACTTGGGTATATTGAGTTGCATACCATAAATGAACCAAAAAAAGATTATTTCCATATATTCTATCACACATTTTTTATTGGATACCAGACTTTGGGAATAATATTAAAAAATTTAATTCTGAGCATTTTTTTAAGACTACTTCAAAATGTTCAAAGAGCCCTCATTTTTATACCTATTCCATAAA